AGGGGCATCCCCCGAGAAATTTTAGAATTTAAACGACTAATCGGACACATTTTGAAGCTTCCATAAAGAATTTTTCCATCAATTTCTGCGGAATAATTATGTTTTTTTTTCTACTTTCAGCACAAAATACTTGCGAATTGTTGCATTCAAAACATCTGGAAATTTTTTTTTTTGGGGGGGGGGGTTCATATGATACTATTTTCAGTTCAATGAGGGCCAGGCCCCCCTGGACTCCCCCTTCGTTTGTATATGGCAAGGGAGTTGAGCCATGAGCCATTGAAGTCGAGGATGCCCAGACTGGAGACTCTTAGCATCCGACGACGGAAGAAAATGAAACGCAGTTATCCCTCTGTACTGAAAATCTTGAAAATAGATAGAAATTTTCCAAGAAGTATACTTCTTTGAAAATTTAAGAAGAATTATACAGTGCCCCAGCGTGTTTCTAAAATTCTATTCACCCTTTGCGAAATTTTTAGGGTAAATTTTTCGCTTTTTCTTACGAAACAAGGGTTGCATGTGAACTCGTAATGGTTTTTCACGGGTACCACGGGCCCTGGTACCAGGGACCCAGTATTCCCCCCCCCCCCCTTGTGGCGGGCCTGATTTTGATTGTAGCTCTACAGCAGTACTGTTAGTTACCAGCTTGCCCGGAGGGATTGATTTGAGAAATACACGTGAAAAACAAAAGGAGAGACAAAAACCTTATGTGATAAGAAATGTTAAACATTTCGAAAACATTTTAAAGTAAAAAAGTAAATATTAGAGAACTCTCGTAGTGTCCATAGTAAACTTTGAACCGCCAAAGTGGGTAATTGGAACAGGGAATCTGGATGAATGGGAGAAAATCACTATTTCCAATCATTAGATGAACTATAGTAAGTAAAAATTCAGAGGGGATGAATGATCGTTTATGAACATGTGGTACTCCAGAAATCTTATCAACATCAGTGAATAAGCTGATGATGGTAACAGGGGATTGCTGGAACCAAAAAATCGTTCCAATAGTCTAAAATGTAATTCTAGGGAATGGGGGTCGAAGTGCGAACTGCGATCAAAATATTTTGTTTTTGTTGATTGGTTACTGGTTGTATAGTAGTCAGGTACAAGAGGATTAATCCCGTTAATATACTTCATCAATGTAATTAAATTTTTCCGTGAAGCAAGCTCCCAAAATTCAGCAAACTCCTGAGAAAAGACCCGATTTTTGTCACATAATGTTTCAATGTCATTTTTCTAAGGAGATGGAAGTTTTTTATTCTCCACTTACCTACCTCTAAGACTCATTTTATAACTTTACTATGTGGCATTAAGATTCTTGAGACTTTTGGAATTTCAGAGCTTTTAATTTTATAAGGGAACTTGAGCAAAATTATAACTTTAAATTATCCAGTTCTGCCTCAATCAATTTTTAAAAAGAGAGAGGCTCTATTTTTGCTGGTTAAACTGAACTTTTCTCTCTTTTCAAACAGAGTCAATAAAAATGATCCATTTCCCAAGCGAAATGTAATTTCTCTTAAACCAATAATAAAAACTCATTCATATTAAACATCATAAAGTTTATTTACTTACATGTGCCTACTTAATCTTACTCAATCACAATTCAATTCATAAATATCAATGAAAAGTCATTTAAATAGTTCAATGACAACTTTTTGTCAAGTTGAACTCCTATATATGCAAGTATAAATTAACAAAAATGTTTTATTGTGAATGTTAAAAACAGTTACAACTAGACATTAATAACTTAATAAATTTTATAAATCTTAACCAGTAATTCAACTGTTAGAACTGTAGAACTCTATTGCAAACAACTTATCATGAAACATGAATCACAGTGTCAAAATGGTCAAATTTCCCAATCTATTCATGCATTTGTTCAAAATTATTCTTTCCTTGACTTTCAGAAATTTAATTAAGTACCTAGTGCACTATCCCACAAAAATATAGGTACTTACATCAGAGAGAGATGGAATAACCAGAGGCACCACATATTCTTCATACAGATACTATCTTTTTTGAGAACAGATATTAATTAATTTTGTAAAGTAACATAGGTACAATTTTCAACTTTTGGGTAGTTGACGAAAAACCTCAGTACTTAAAGTCTTCCTAAAGTACCTAATGAAAGTATCTTTTATGAATGAAAAAATGTTCTCTAAAGTCCTGATGGAAACATATCCTCGTCCATAAGTTTTTGTAGGCATACGCAATTGGATGCACTTGGATAAAAAGTGGAAAGAGGAGAAAACCGCTTATTTTTAGTAGATAGAAACTAATTCCACCTAGTAGATTCATATTACTCAATAAAATTTGATGAAAATTTATTTGCAAATTTGTTGTTGTTTTTTGTTTACAGTTGTTAGAAAGAAGGAAAACAAGAGAATCATGAGTGAGCTGTTGACTTCTCATCACAATCAACCCTTGACTCTCTAACGTAGCCTTGTGTTAATATCTCCATTTTCATGAGAAAAACACCCTCATGCTTCTTTTTTCTTAGAATTTTTCTATAAACCCTGCCATCAAGTAAAGAGTCACAGTTTTTAATCTGTACAAAATAGGGGAGACTTATTCATTAAAGGGCAACATCCTAAGAAAATGGAAAAGCTCAAATTGAATGGTACCTCCTCCAAGATTGAAGAAACCATTAATAGGTATTTTAGGACGAAAGTTGTATTTTTATACTAATTTTTAGGACGAAAAAATAAATTTTAGCCTCAGGACACGTTAGTACTTTGTAAGAATAATTGAGCATCCATAACGGAGGTTACAGAACGAATTGAACATAATTATAAGTTTTGATCCCTTGAATGGTAGGTATGCCTGCTCTTTATCCAGAGGGTTCTAGGTACAGAAAGCATAGAGATGTGTGCCCTAAAAATGTTTGAGCTATTTGAAAGAAAGAAGAAAAATATAAAGCTGTAAAGGGGTTTATGAATAAGTAACCTAATTGTGTCAGTGTGGGTCAGGAGCTGTCTCAGCGTAGCCCATTTTTTGTAATACTTTCTTAATTTCTCGGTAGACTGATGGGTCCTCAATTGTTCCGGGAATCTACAAAATAGAACACACAAATACATAATATTAAATCAAGGGCATTAAAACAAAACACTTTCGGCACTTATCATCATACTTGCAGAAAATTTTATTAAGTACTTGAATATCCAATTAGAATGAGAAAGCTTTCAAGAAATTATTACTTTAAAGTAAAAGGTAATTTTCAAACTATATTACCTAACTCAGCACGTCTATTGTGAAAATATTTTTACGTAGATTGGTGGCAAGATTGGAAGAGAAGATGAACTGTTGTAGATACCTACCTATGTAAGTGTGTCCACATATTGATGGCTAAATGCAAGAAATGCGTACCTATCTGCAATGTTAAAAACTCTCTGATAATGTTTTATTTTCTTCCAGGAAAAGTAATCAAAGTGTTTCCTTGTAATTTGTGTGATTTTTTTAGAATGAGTGAAGAAATTTCACAGAAAATTTTAATTGAAACTTTCAGTTAGTTTTCCTTTAAAAAAGTAGGTAAAACATGAGGGGGGGACATAATTATGATGTTGCAATCTGAGATAAGCATTTTCTTACTTCAGCCATCGAAAATTATAAGTGTACCTATATATTTCAGGATTAGTATATTTTGTTCTTTCATTTTTCCAGCTAAAAAAGTGCCGGGTATCCAGTAGGTATCTCTTATCTTGTAATGACATCCAGGAGATTGTCACCAAGTAAATAAACTGTATTTGACTGCAGAGAAAAAAAACGAAAAGAAAAATTCCCCATTTTCCCAGAAAATATAAATATTCTCTACCTAAGCCAGAAATGTTCATCTCCGAGGAGAAAAAGTAACTGGGCTAAATGAAGAGAAGAAACAAAGACTACTGTTTGCTACAGTGAGCTAGTTATTAGAAAGAAACGCAGTACAGGAGATCCATTTGTACCGCATATTGCAGCATGCATGATTGAAGGAGTCCCTATGCCCGGTCTATACGGTCAAACTATTTGTCGCGGTTCGTTAAACTGCGTCGTTCTGTCGTACTAAATTTTACTCAGTTTATTCTACTTCATCGAACTAGTTTACAACAGTTTGCCAATGATTCGGCCATCTCTGCCATGATAGCAAAGAGAGCAGTAAGTGCATTTGCATTTCTGTATAAGCCTTGATTAATGATTAGCACATGCTTTTATGGGTCTCGAGGTTCATCCCAGCATGCACTTACTGCTTTCTTCGCTATCACGGCAGATCTGTATAGGGCTTTAGCGTCCACTTAATGTTATCGATGACAATATTATTACTGACATCAGTTGCGTGTAAAAAAATTGAAGGTATTTTTGGATTCCGAAAGCGTCGCTTCGTGAGTTCGAGAAAAGCGTAAAAAAAAGAAAGAAAGAAAAAAACAATTAAAAAGATATTGAAGACAATTTTACGTGAAAAAGTCTAACAATACAACTATCTTCATAATATATCACCGTCATTCTTATTCCGTGATGAGGAGGTTTGTAGTGCGTGGATGAAAACTATGCTGCTTAGCTAAGGAAAAACGACGTATGAATCTTGGGCTTGAGTCAAACTTTCTTCGATACTTAATACACAGATTTTATGTAGATACATTTTGAATGTTTAATTTTTCTTCCACTTTTTCAGAGATGTTCGTCATCAATTTCATCTAAGTCATCCCTGGTAAAAATTGGCGATAGGAGCTGCGTTTCAAAATACCATAGGAGTTCTTATAGCCGACTGAAGAGTGCGATAGAAAATCATATAGCTGGCTGTAGAAAGTGGAAAAAGCCATACGGCCGGGCTACACGAAGCGATTAAAAATTATACACCCGGGCTATAGTTCCTGTCGCCGGGCTTTACACTTTATCGCCTGGCTGTTGCTTTTTCGCCATCGGCTATTAAAAGCTATAAGAAATTGTGTAGAAATTCTTGTGCTTTGTTAATCCTTAAGTTTGTGCGGAATCACCTGAATATTTACAAAACGCACATGTATTTTCCTTTACTGCATACTTTTTTTCATCAATTAAAATGAGAACACTCCATACAGAGTGTGCAAACATTTCAAAGTCATGAGTTGAAAAACGCTGACTCCGCGAGATTAAATATTAGATCCTAACACAAAGCGGAGCGGCGCGGCGGCGCGGCGCATTGACGCCTACAAACCTAACAGGGATACTTCACGCATTGCGCAATGCGTGAAGTATCCCAGTTAGGTTTGTAGGCGCCAATGCGCGTTCAGCGCTGGCTGCCCGCCCGCCGCGCCATGTGCGGTATTGCACAGTATCAGACGAAATTCCAGATTCCAGGACGCTAATAGCTTTGTTGTCGGTGTTATTGTGCAAAATATTCGTTAAACTTTATTCAACAATATGCGTGTTTCGGTATACTTTTTCATCTTTTTTAGCTTTGTAAATCCTTAAGTTTGTCCGGAATTACCTTATTATTCACAAAACGCACATTATATTTTCCTTTTTTACATATTTTTTTTCATCAATTAAAATGAGAATAATCCATACAGGGTGTGCAAACATTTCAAAGTCATGAGTTGAAAAACGCTGACTCCGCGAGATTAAATATTAGAGCCTAACACAAAGCGGAGCGGCGGCGCGGCGCACTGGCGCCTACAAACCTAACAGGGATACTTCACGCATTGCGCAATGCGTGAAGTATCCCAGTTAGGTTTGTAGGCGCCAATGCGCGTTCAGCGCTGGCTGCCCGCCCGCCGCGCCGTGCGCGGTATTGCACAGTATCAGACGAAATTGAAGGCGCTCCAACATATTAGGAATGGCAGGCATCCTTCAAAAGTACAGAGCTTTCCTCGCAAATTAAATCAAGATACTGCGGCCCAAAAAGAGAGCGGTAGTTCAATAACTCACTAAGTCCTAGCATCCGTAATTAGTAACGTTTAGCATACACTTTATCGCCAGGCTGTTGCTTAATCGCCATCGGCTATAAGAGGCCATAAGAAATTGTGTTGCCGGCTATAGAAGCTATTGGAAATCTTACAGCCGGCTGTAGGTCTATGGTATTTTGGAATCTTAGATTCTACTGCCAATTTTTACCAGGGATCTGAAACTTTCAAAGAAAAATGTTCATAACTTTTCTTTTTCAAGAAAAGTTATGAACGCGAGTTATGAAGTTATGAAAGTGATGAGTTCTTCATCGGGAGACGTTATGCAACATTCAAATATTCATACGACGTTTTTCCTTAGCATGGCAATATATGGACGATGGAACTACGAGATCACGTATCTCGTTTTCGGTGTCTTAAAATCTCCGCTCCCATTTCACTTTTTTAGAGGACGCACCAAATCAATATTATTTTTCTGAAGTTTTCGCTGATTTTTCTTCGCACGGTGAAGAAAAATCACGGAAGTTCTCAAGAATTGACGTCCAGTAGTAATCTATTTTTTTTTAAAAAAAAGTATAGCAGGACGTCAGCAACGTCGCAAACCGAGATACGTGGTTTGGGAGTTTCACCATCGAAATTGTCAAATGTGAGTATACAGTCCCCAGGATGAGTAGAAACACTCAGAATACAGCCAATCGGTGGATGCAACTTAATTAACTTCAGTGTGGGGTTGGGTGGTATCGCCAAATTTGAAGGCGAACTAACGACGATTTTTTTCTCAACAACAGGCCTCGCCGAGCCGCTAACCGTTGCGGCATGTATTTCACCGTCATGTTCATTCTGCGAGCGGAGGATTTGTGGTTTAGAGATGAAAACCATGCTACTTTGCTGAGGAAAAACGCCCCATAAACTTTTGACCGTCGCCAAATTTCCATAGAAATAAAACACAGATTTCGTGGAGAAATTTTGAATATGTTTCTACCACTTTTTCAGTGATCTTTTGTTCCCAATTTTACCGGGATGCGACAGGAGCGTGGCACGGAAAAACATGCAATGGATTTAGGCGGTGGGGCTTTTTCGAGGGGAGGGGGGGGGTGTTAAAGGCCCCTCATTTCTGTACCTTCAAAAAATGATGAAGAAAGTTCCGGTCTCAGTTAAGGTGATTTGACGGTTGCCATTTTTTGTGTCAGAACGACGTGCGATTTATCGCATCACCTCGTTCCATAATTTCAGGCACTTGTTATTTTTTTCGAATTCTGAAATCGCACTTCTGTTGTCATAAGACTAAAGAATTCATGTACCAAATTTGACAGAGGAATTCAAGGTAATAAAGACGTGGTTTTTTAGAGGAAAAATATCGCATTCGATACTGATATCGAAACTGCACTCGAATGCATTATTTTTACTCTGAAAAACCCCTGCCTATTATACGTTGAATTTCTTCGTCAAAGGCACATGAATTCTTTAGTCTCATGACAACAGAAGTGCGATCTCAGAAGTCGGAAAAATGTCAAGTAGCTGAAATCATGGACGATGCTATACATCGCACGTCGCTCTGACACAAAAAATGACAACCGTCGAATCACCTTAAGGTGATGCGATGGACGCCATATTTTGTGTCAGAACGGCATGCGATATATTGCATCAATTGGTTCCATTTTTTTAGCTACTCGTCATTTTTCTCGAATTTTGAGATCGCAATTCTGTTGTCAGGAGACTAAAGCACTCACTTACCAATTTTAACAAAGAAATTCAACGCAATAAAGGCGTGGTTTTTTTTAGAGAGAAAATATCGCAACCGAGTGCAGTCTCGATATCAGTATCGAATGCGATGTTTTCTCTCTAAAAAAACCACGCCTTTATTTACGTTGAATTTCTTTGTTAAAATTGGCAAGTGAGTGCTCTAGTCTCCCGACGACAGAATTGCGATCTCAAAATTCGAGAAAAATGACGAGTAGCTGAAAAAATGGAACCGATTGATGTTATATAACGCACGTCGCTCTGACACAAAAAATGGCGACCGTCGAATCACCTCAATTAGTACAGGAAAACAACGTTACCTTGACTAGTTTGTTGCGAGCTAGATCGGAGATAGATTTTCTGGAGGTTTTTCCGGAGCGAGTCCTCGGGAGCCCGGACACGGCCGCCGAAAGGTGGAAAGCCGCGATCGGCCCGATCAGTTCCCTAACTAGTTTCACCAGTTCCGCAGAGATTTCAGACTCCGTCTTCTGGCAGCCTACGCGCCGAGACGGAAAAAAACGAAAAAAACATCAGTCACCATCATCACAATCCATATCACAGGGTTCAAAGATTCCCTTTCGTATTTCGTCACCTCCCGGCCAAAGTATCACAAGCGCCACGCGACGCTCAAAAATTTCCGCCGCCATTTTATTTCTTACAGATATTTTGAGGGTTGAATCTGTTTAAAAATTCCACTGAATTGTATCGGCAGCGCAAAGAAAATAAATTCAGTGAAATTTTCGGACAGCTTCAACCAACAATTTCTCTGTAAAAAAACAAGATGGCGGCGGAAACTTTTAAACGTCGCATGGCGCTTGTGATACTTTGGCCGGAGGGTGACGATTTGATTGGATCCACTGAAAGGGATTTTAGGTCAACCTTCCCGCACAGCACGCAAAATGAGTAGTTATAAGGAATGTGCAATTGGTACCTACTTTTAACAATGTTTGGGAGTTATATGTGTAGTAAAACACGCAAAAAAGGCGTAACTAATCACCGCTCAAGAGTTTACCACGTGTTGAGCACTCGTGAATGGCAAGTTAAAAAATTTGAAGACAGAACTGAATTAATTCTTGCGTATTTTTCATGTTTCGATGGACGCCATATTGTGTGTCAGAACTGCATGCAATATATCGCATCAATTGGTTCCATTTTTTCAATTACTCGTCATTTTTCTCCAATTTTGAAATCGCAATTCTGTTGTCAGGAGTCTAAAGCACTCAGTTACCAATTTTAACAAAAAAATTCAACATAATAAAGGCGTGGTTTTTTCAGAGAGAAAATATCGCATTCGAGTGCAGTTTCGATAACAGTATCGGATGCGATGTTTTCTCTCTGAAAAAACCACGCCTTTATTACGTTGAATTTCTTTGTTAAAGTTGGTAAGTGAGTGCTTTAGTCTCCTGACAACAGAATTGCGATCTCAAACTTGGAGAAAAATGAAGAGTAGCTGAAAAAATGGAACCAACTGATGCGATATATCGCATGTCGTTCTGACACAAAATATGGCGTCCATCGAATCACCTTAAGGTACATTTCAGTGAATTCTTGGCACGAGCGATATACCCATTCCCAATTTTAACCATTAGGGGAATTTTTTGGAGTCAGCCTAAATTTATGTCAGTCTCTAGATCAAATATTAAGAAATGGTCGTATCAAAAATCGACTCTCGAATTCTGGAAATATAACCAGAAGTACTCTTTTCCTTGAATCATCTAAAAAGATATAAGCAAAATTAGTTGGAAACTGAAAGCAATACTTTTGAACTTATTTTGAAGCTCAACAGATTGAATTTTTGTGAAAGTATCACTTCAGAGGAAACCGCTATCTGTGTGCACCGGCGCTGTTGCAAGTCTCAGGGACGATTTGCATTTTAAACACTTATAACATTATCATCAGCACTGCGCGAAGTTCGGGTCAATAAACATCTGAAGTACTCCGGCGCGGCATATCGACGGTGTAAGTCGGCAATCACATGCTTAACGCGATTTGCGACCTAGCAGAGTTTCCTGTCATACTTTATTTTTTAAACGGAACGGCAATTCTTTAAAACTGCCGTGTTTTTTCTTCTCTGTGCGAAGGAAATTCTGCAAAAACTTCAAGGAATGATGTCAATTTGTTCTCCTTTAAAAAGAACATAGAGGCGGAGATTTTCAGACACCGCAAACGAGATATCATTACCTATGTGATTGCGGACTTACGCCGTCTATATACCGAGGGGTTTGGGTCACACACCTGATCGGATGTTTGACCCGACCTTCGGCAACTGGACCTCAAGGTTTCGGATGCTCGATCCGAAACCTCCAAAGATCGATAAGACCTCAATTTCGGGTCCCACGCACGAAGTTGTTTTCTCCTTGTACAATGTAAAATAATATGTCTTGAAACTTTGACAGTATGTTCTTGAGAGTGTTGAAGAGTGCGGGTAGCATCGACATTGCAAATCGAAATTTTTGATCCCAAACCGGGTTTTCCGGTGAGTTTCCACCCTCGGGAATATTTCACCCTTTGCGTCAATTTAATTTTGGACCCATAGTTTTTTAAAAGTCGTGGTCAGTCAGCAATCGCCGGGAATTTGCGAGCTGCTTGCATGGTAACTCGTCAAAATGTAATAACACGCATTGACACAGTAAAGGTTTCAGTGATGAACAAAATAAAAAGCACGACCTCGGCCTTCATTGCCTTCAAATGCCGATGATACGCTCCGCTTTATCACGCAGTTAGTTTAGTTGCCTATCCGAACCAAACCCAACAAGAATAACTGATATTACTACTTGCACTTGAGAATGTGTCAGCTGGTACAATGCATACGAGAAGAAAAAAACGCCAGTTTAAATTTCGAGCATAACACTCGTTATTTCTTACCTCGTCCCTTTATTTCTGAATCTTTATATTTTCTCTCTTCAAAAAAATTAGATTGCAATTTTTCCGGCGATTGCTAATTGCCTGCGCCTTAACCATTTTCACTCCCCCTTTTTTGTTATTTTCTTTCGCAAAATAAATTTTATAGATACATCCTTGAGAATCTTACGAGGTAATTTTCTCGTAGAACTGTGCCTATGAGAAATACCATGGGAGTTCTTACAGCCGACTAAAGAAGGCTATTGAAAATCATATAGCTGGCTGTAGAAAGCGGAGCAAATCATATAGCCGGGCTATACGAAGCTATAAAAAAGTATACAGTCGGGCTATAGTTCCTATCGCCGGGCTTTACACTTTATCGCCATTGGCTATAAAAGGCTATAAGAAATTTTGTAGAAATTCGTGTGCTTTGGAAATCATTAATTTTGATACAGAACTACATTTATATTTACAAAACACACATTATGTTTTCCTTTAAAACATATTTTTTTTTCACCAATCAAAATGAGAATAGTCCATGCAGAGTGTGCAAACATTTCAAAATCATAAGTTGAAAAACGCTGACTCCGCAAGATTAAATATTAGAGCTTAACACAAAGCGGAGCGGCGACGCACTGGCGCCTACAAACCTAACAGGGATACTTCACGCATTGCGCAATGCGTGAAGTATCCCAGTTAGGTTTGTAGGCGCCAATGCGCGCTCTGCGCTGGCTGCCCGCCCGCCGCGCCGCGCCGCAGCGTACCGCGCAATGCGTGAAGTATCCCTGTTAGGTTTGTAGGCGCTGTAGCGCCGGAGAGGTAATTTTCTCGTAGAACTATGACTGAAGCCTGGAATAACGGCGGACCTACCATTTTTAATGATGTAGAGACACAGGGGAATTTCGCCCTTGGTTGGCTCGGGGACACCCACAACTGCTGCATCGCCGATGTCCGGGTGCGAGAGGATCACGTCCTCGAGAGCCGAGGTCGACAGTCGATGTCCTGCCACGTTGATCACGTCATCATCCCGCGCTGTCACGTAGATGTACCCATTCTCGTCGCAGAAACCTGCGTCCATGGTATCGTAGTAGCCCTATCAAAAGAACCAAAAGAGTCACGCTCATGCTTGTACTCATTGAGGCACCTGCTACAAATTCCACGGTGAAACTCAGAGACGATGAGAGACCCTCCCTTCAGCTCTTTATCGACAAGTGGACACTTTTACTTTCGGGGTCTCAATATTTCCTTATGGACGATTATAAGTCAGCGACAATTGTCTCGCCTATTAAGTGGATCAATAATAAATACTCAACAACTTAAAACCTCACTTGCGCGTAAAATTTTTGCGGGTGGACGCGTTTCGCCGACTCACACCTCCAGTATCCTCAACGCGACCCTAAGGTGGACCACTAGTGAGCTTCGAGCATGGGTGGAAATAGGGGGCTAGATTTAAAAGAAATTGTTTTTCCTCAAAAACTGAATAAGCACACAAGTTAATTTAAAAATGTAATTTTGGGATTTTGACCTTTAGAAATTTAAAGTTTGCAATTTTAGACGATTTTTTGTCCAAACCATGTCTCAATATCTTATTTCGTTCGAAAGATATCGAGGTTCACAGGGTTTGACTTCCACCCTCCCTAGCGTCCCCCCCCCAAATTTTTTGGGGGTTTGAAAATTTGGGGAAAGAAGCGCTCCAGTATGAGTAACTGATAGACGAAGTTTGAATAAGTTTTAAAGGGGGGCGGCGAAAGAAGTCGTTTTTGCATACGGCTCTTTGAAGGAATTTTCGTTAAATTGCAGAGTTAGGTAATGCGCAAATATTTTCAAATTAAATTTGCATTTCTTAAAAAGTAAATAAATAAATAATCACGTACAGCTTTCCAACGTTGCAATGCTGTTGAGGAGCTCTCTTGCTCTCACATGTTTAATTCGCATGTGCAACTTCTTGCAATTAAAGTGTATTGCCGCAATAAAAGCTGTCATTTTGTGTACCAACGAAGGGTGCACTCTTAAAACAAAATCTGGGCAAATTGACTGTTAAATTTTGGTATTTGGTCAGCGGAACTTTCAAAATGGTGAGATTCGAGAATGGATCCAACTCATGGTTTCACCATCAAATTATTTTCACTCATTCATTAATTAATTCATAGTGAATGAATTAATCTACTAATCAGTAGCGCGATGAAGCGCTTGGTAGAAACAACTTTCGTTTTCTCTAGGACTCGATGATTCAATACACTCTGACGTAGCAAAAAGTTGTGGAACTTTAGCTATTCCAATATGGGATCTCAATCGACCCCTGACCTTGCGCAAAGGGGCATTGCTTGAACTAGAATATTTTGATCCCCGGATGTAGGTACAAAACCCTTTTAAAGTTGGATGGTTAAAAAGTTTCGTGTCGGCATGCATTAAGGGATGAGTTTTTATGTTACAGCGTGGAGGTCTCACCGGGTATTTGGAGAAGTACACTTGGATGAAGCGCTCTGGAGCTCTGTACAGGGTTGACATAACACCTGGTGGCAAAGGCAGTTTAATTGCAATTCTGCCGAGCTCGTGGGCTTCACATTCACTCCCATCGTTTCGAAGAATTTTTACTGAAACCAACAGAAAACAATTTTCGTACTTCTTTTTGGCTTGGATTAAGGTACTGAAATTGCAGCAACTGGGACATTGGATATCATGTAATTGAAACAAAAATACAAACCCAAGTAGATCTATACCTACTTAGCAACTATGAGAATGATTTCATTTGATGATTGAATGATTTAATAGTCGACCAGTAGATCCGGTAATTTCTGAATTTGAAGACAGCGAACGCTAAATAATTTTTTTGGAAAAAATCGTTGTTTAATCGTAGTAAAAAAATTTACGTGCAGACGTGCTCTTCCGTGTCTTCGTGACGGAGGCTGGCGAAAGGATCCTCAAGATTGAGGTTAAATAAAATGAGATACTTAATTGCATCGCAGGTGAAAGGAGAAAATTTTGGATCGTTTAGCGCGCGAAGCACACTTGTTGAAAAATTTTGAACATTGATCTTTTAAAGAGGGGATTCTAAAGTTAGCGGAGGATAATCACGCTTTTGAGAAAATACACAGCTTGATATTTTGATCCAAGATCCCTAAAAATATTGCAGATCATGGCGTACCTAGGAGACTGAAAATAGCTATTAAAAAGCTTCAAATCCGTTTTTTTGCAGCGAATAAGCACTGAGCAGTTTGAGTTTCCGCTTTAATGATATCTTTGCCTGACTCCATCAAATTTCATTTCCAGGGTTGCGTCATTTATTGAATTTTTGAGATTTTCTCGTGGAAAAGCAGGCATGATCAAGCTATGAATCTTCCGCGGATGAAAGATAAACATATCCAGAGGTTTTCTCTCCTCCTATTGCCCCCCCCCCCCCNGATTTTCCGACGTCACGACGAGACGCTCGCACTGAAATGTGTTCTTTCATTAGCTGCCGAAATGCCTCCCAAGTGGTTTCAAGGAGTGATGGATGGCTGCGGATAATGTTAACGGCATCGCGAGCAATGTTATTGCTACTCTTGGCGATTTACGAATTTTTAAGACGCTTTTCCGACCAATGGGAAAAGACGATAAATCTGTGGTCGAAATTCCTCTCCTTTAACTGTAGTTCTCTTCATTGACTAGCGTGTGCATCTCTCCGCAATCGTTGCACTTCCGACTTGGCCCCCGTGCAGGGCCGTGCTAAGGGAGAACGCCGCACGAACATTCGAAAGCTGTCAAATCTCCCCGAATAAAACATGTATCTTTGACGAAATTCACGCACGTTTTTCCTCGAAATTTCCAGATATTTCAGATTGAATTGCGAACTAAATAGTTCGAAACATTGGAAGAAAAATATTTACAATTTCCCCAATAAATTCGTATTTCATCAGAGGAAATTTGGCATCGCCTGAAGGTTCATACGGCGTGTTTCCTCAGCAAGGCGGTGCAGAGCATGTTGTCGGCAATCAAACTGCAAACGGAATAACGACCTGCTGTTTGATTTGCGATGTTTATAAGAATAATGAGTATTTAATTTCAGTCACTTCCCCGAATTCGTATCGGAGAAAAACGTTCTTCTTTAATGGTGCAGTGATCTAATTTCCGAATTCCAAGAGCATTCCAATGACGCTAACCTTGCAAACATAAACGATCATCTAGACTAGTTTCACCTCTACTCCCAATAAACTATGAATTCAAGACGAAAATTACCGTCTCAAAGTTTACTTTTTGCAAAGAATGTACCTAAGTTGCACAATCCCAGCAACATTGAAATATGGTCTTGGTTCCTTTTTGCAAAATGCGATCGAATTGGTTGTTGCTGCAAAAAAATAGTTTCCCACAACCTGCTATACAATGCTCCAGTGACCATGTAAGTTGGCCCGAGCACTAACTTTTCGGGAAGAAAGCCTTTCCCCTACCTGGTTTCTCACTTAATATCCGCCCGAGTTTCGCATATCTTCCGTTTCTCCTCATCGCAGGCTTCCATCAAACCGCAATTGCCCGGAAACTAGGACCGCACATCTTATCTGATAAAATCGTTCGCCCTTTAGACCGATTCTGGGAAGTTAGGAGGCTAGACTAGTCGATGAGTCAACTGTTGATCTAATTTCATTACGTGAACGTAGAAGAAAAACGGGGTAAAAAATCACTAATGTGTGATCAGTTTTCAAGGACAATTCTGTAATTTCTCCCACGATTTTAAATAGATTAAAACGCGTAATATCCAAAATCTAAGCTCAGATTCGGATTTCTTGTGAAAAACTGATGCGATTTCATGCATCAAATTTTAGAATAGCGTGAAGGAAAGAGGTTTATTGACGTTTAAAAACTTTAATGTGTGATCAATTTTCAAGGACAATTCTGTAATTTCTCCTACGATTTGAAATAGATTAAAACGCGTAATATCGAAAATCTAAGCTCAGATTCGGATTTCTTGTGAAAAACTGATGCGATTTCATGCATCAAATTTTAGAATAGCGTGAAGGAAAGAGGTTTATTGACGTTTAAAACCTTTAATGTGTGATCAATTTTCAAGGACAATTCTGTAATTTCTCCCACGATTTTAAATAGATTAAAACGCGTAATATCGAAAATCTAAGCTCAGATTCGGATTCCTCGTGAAAAAGTGATGAGATTTCATGCATCATATGTTAGAATAGCGTGAAGGAAAGAGGTTTAATGACGTAAAAAAACACTAATGTGTGATCAATTTTCAAGGACAATTCTGTAATTTCTCCTACAATTTTAAATAGATTAAAACGCATAATATCGAAAATCTAAGCTCAAATTCGGATTTCTCGTGAAAAATTGATGAGATATCATGTATCATATGTTAGAATAGCGTGAAGGAAAAAGGTTTAACGACGTGTATAGATTCTGTCGTACTATTCGTTTAAACTACGCCGCCGCGCCGCGCCGGTCGCCCGAGATGCAACCGAACGGTGAGGCGCCGGCCGGCGCTAAGCAATCGGTTTCGTCCCGAGGAATTTCTCACGATAAATTCTTATTCTTCCTTCTCCGCTGACCCACTGAGCACTTGCCATGTTGCCACGTTGGATTCATATGCTCGAATCAGTATGCCTACGTTACACCTCTTTCCTTCACGCTATACTCGGGTATGATACATGAAATTGTAACAATTTTTAACGAGGAATCCGAATCTGAACTTCGATTTTGGGTATCACGGGTTTTAAGTCAAATTTTCCAAATTCGAAAATCTGAAATGACTGACGTGGCTTAAAATGCCATCTCGGCTCCTGTTCGACGGATTTTCCTGAAAGTCGGTGTCAGGGTATGATACATGAAATCGCATCGATTTTTTACGAGGAATTCGAATCTGAACTTCGATTTTGGGTATCACGCGTTTTAAATAAAATTTTTCAACTTAAAAAATCCGAAATGACTGAAGTGGCTTAAAATTACATCTCGGCTCCTGTTCGATGGATTCTCCTGAAATTCGGTATTAGGGTATGATACATGAAATCGCATCGATTTTTACGAGGAATCCGAATCTGAGCTTCGATTTTGGGGATCACGCATTTTAAATCAAAATCTGTCAAAATTCAAAAAATTCAAAATTCGAAAATCCGAAATGGCTTAAAATGTTATCTCGGCCCCTGTTCGATGGATTTTTCTGAAATTCGGTGTCAGGAGGTATTTTTCGACAGGAAACTCGAATTTTAGTCCATTTTCTAAAATTCTCAAATTCAAGATAGCGGACGTGGGCTAAAATGCTATATCGGTTTCTGTTTGTTCGAGTCTTGTGAAACGCGGTATCACACAGTATTTTTCAACGGAAAACTCGAATTTTTAGTCAACTTTTTAAAATTCTCAACTCCAAAATGTTGGATGTGGCCTAAAATGAGCCCCAGTTCTGGCCACCGTTTTTGTTCGTTTAAAGCTTTGTGAACCGCGGGATCAGTGGTACTTTTCGACGGAAAACTCGAATTTTTAGTCGATTTTTGAAAATTCTCAAATCTAAGATGGCGGACGTGGCCTAAAATGCTATGTCGGCTCCTGTTCAAAGGATTTTTTTGAAACTCGGTGTCTGAGGGTATTTTTTGACCGGAAACTCGAATTTTTTCTATGTTTAAAAATTCTCAAATCCAAGATGGCGGACGTGGCCTAAAATGCTATGTCGGCTCCTGTTCGATGGATTTATGGCGCCCCCTTACTACATGCCTACTCTTGTATTTCTGTACAGCCGCAAATTTAGGGTCAAGGGGCGCCTGACCGTCTATGGACCAGGTGGAGTTTTTGTCCTGAAAATTTACCTTTGTACGGCAATTCTCTTTATATTTTGTCTATGGTTTTTATACCCCCCCCCTTTCTCGCGGACTCTCTTTTCACTTTTCTTACCTCCTTTTTCCTTCCATTTCCCCCCTTCTTCCTTGCTCTCACTGCCCAACCTTGTTTCCTTTTCCTTTTCCCCCTTGTCCTTTCTTCCCTTTTTTTCCTTTTCCTTTTCCCCCTTGTCCTTTCTTCCCTTTTTTTCCTTTTCCTTTTCCCCCCTTTTTTTCCCTCTCTTCTTCTTTCGTGGCGCCCCCCAAAGGCTAGCGCCCGTGTGCGCCGTACGCCCTGGACACGCCCTAAGTCCGGGCCTACGAATTCTCAAACTCGATTTCCCATTAAATGGAGCTAGCAAAATTTCATCAACTTTCAATCGTACCTATTGAGCGCACAACATACAGGAAAATTACTCTATCAACAAGCGGAGCAAACAATTCTTTAAAGATAGTTTTGAATTGCAATTTTCAAAATTTCAATTTGGATTTTTGAGATAACTCCTTACCGTTGTATCCTGGAAGAGGCATTCCTGCTGAATACCTCGGTGGGTTTATACTGTGACCAAGTCCTATGCACGATGCTGTGATTGCATGACCAGTCTCCGTTTGCCACCAATGATTTAGGATCGGAACCTTAAAATAGTAAAATATTCAAGAGTTAATCGATCAGGTGAGGAGCTGGGGAAGATAAGAGCTGTGGCTGTGGAAGTCTCAGTGAACGACCTTACAACTCCGTTTTTGATTTTTCTTTTTTAAGCACGCACTACGAATCATCGAAAAATGTACCCCAGTTTCTGCCAGTGAAGCAAATCGAGGAAGATTTGGAAATATTCCTGAGGGTTGATTCGGTAATACCCGTCACATCTGAAGCATATTACCAACATATACTACCTATTGAAATAAATCCAAAAGTGTATTAACGAACTAGACTGGAAACCTAAAGTTATGTGGATTATTATTTTCCTACTTGGAAGGTTTACCTTCATAATTGAGTTTTTAGACGAGACGGACTAGAGTTTAAGTCTTCAATTTTCGAACAGAATGGGATAACCTTTTAGACTCGTGACCCGTGATTTTACCAGTCTTATTGAAATGTAAATAAACTAGAATGTGTTTTTCAGCAAATGGATTGCAAAATGTGCCAAAATTACTCTTCATTCATGAATTATTGTAATATAACCTGCGATTTTCGTTTTGCTTGGAAATAGGAAATATTGTTTTCAAAAGGATTATAATCGTACGTCAAAAGCAACGAGGGTGGGTCTGCCTATCTGCTACTCGTAGGTCGGCCGTATCCTGCCAATCCTGAACTTTGCCGCATAATCTTAGACTTTTTTATTAAAAAAAGAAAAAAAATAGTTATTTTTGTATTGGTTTATTTTGTAAAGAAGCCTTGGCAAGTATGTTTACATAACTCTGCTAGGTATTATGTTATGTGTTTCATCACAAAATAGGAGAAAATGTGCAGTAATTTTGGTGAGAATTCCGAGAGTAAGCAAAAGAGAATGGAAGAAGTAGAAGTTGTGATGAGGAAAAGTAAGAAAGTAAAGTGAGAATGAAAAATACCTAGAAAGAAAAGTCATTACTTTCGCACTCTCCCTCATCCTCGTAATTTTGTCACCACCGAAAGTTGCCGCCATGGGGCGTGGCCTATATAAAAGCCGATTTTTATGAGTGCATATCCAGGAAGCATGAGTGAATATTTTACTATAGTAGTTTTACAAATAGTAGACACTTACGTTGAATACTTTATGTGCCCAGTTTTTGGTCTCGTGGTCGCAGTGTTCCCCGGCAACGAAGAGGTGTCGTAATGACTTGGTGGAGTACTTGCGGCCCATCAGAATATCCGGGTCCTCTCTCCTGATTACCCTCAGCGCCGTTGGAGCTGTCAGGAGACCATTTACTTTGTGTTCACTTATAACTCTGAAACAGACAAATACGAGGTCTGTTAGATTAGAAACCAGATTTTGGTGATAACTAGCCCAGTGTGCGTCCGAATTAGGCTTCCTTGGACTTTCCTGATAGCTGATAACATACTGAAGAACGCTAGGTTCACAGATTTTGTTTATTTAGATCAGTGTTTATTCTATGTCATCTTCAATACGAGTAAATCAGGTGCGTTCTGCGATGTTCATCACGCGATCACTGATAGAGCAAATATTTAACATTAAAATTTGTTTTAAACTCGGTATACCTTGTACCGAAACTTTTGGTATGGTAAGTAAAGTTTTGACGCTCGTATCAGGTGATCCTGAATTCACGCTAATTAAGGTACCTCAATTAATTCGTCCGTCGTTGGTGATATTTACGCTCTGATCTATTCACTCAGAGTACGGCGCGAAATTCGCGCTAAATTTTTTTTTCACGCCGGCTATTCACTCAGAGTAAATCATTGAATTTAACAGTGTAAGTAAGCTCCTCTAACAATTTTCGAGAGTTGCAACGAATAGAATAATTTCTATCGAACATCTCTATTTAAAATCCCGAAACTCCTCTAATGATCGATTTCAATTTTCATGTTATTTTTTGAAAACGCTCATCAAAATTAGTGTCATATTCAACAGTGTCCACTCGAATAAGATTTCTGAGGGTTATTTCATGAGAGAGGCGTAGAGAAAATTTGCTCACCTAAAATATTGTCCAGGATCAGGTGTTCGGTCGGGTTTGCCCTCGTACATGACGGAGGTGAGGCCGGCGCACAGGGGTCCGTAACAGATGTAGGAGTGGCCGACGACCCAGCCCATGTCGGAGGCTGTCCACCAGACGTCGTCTCCACTCATCCCATAGATCGTGGACATGGACCACGTTAAAGTTGCGATGTGCCCACCTGTCGGTCGGATTATCCCCTTTGGCTGGTCTGTTTAAGGGAAACCACAATCATCACATTACGAACAATTTCATCAAAAGTTAGTTACCAAACAGAGTGCTTTGCTTAAAGTGCAGCTCTCATTCCTGCAATTTTTGTATATTTGCGCCTTGTTTTCAAGAATGGACCACTAGACAAGGAACGAATTTAAGCAATCTGATACATGTTTCTTAACTAGAATTTCACGTAAAACATTATTCACACGACGAAAATTACGAAATCCAACTCTTAAAAAAGATATTAACGTTTTTATTACACTTTGGTTACGAGGAATTTGAACTGCCCGCTCACAAGACACTCAAAGCTCTACGTAAGTCAAATCGCGCACTACAACGGTTTCAGCAATCTTCTCAATCGAGCAGTGTTCATTTCTCACCATGTGTTGTTCAAACTATAAGCAATTTGCTACTGCTGAGCCAAAGCGTCAAGATTGAGGTTGCCGGATTTTTATATCGCAGAGACTGTCATGATAACGTTTAGCGCACGATGTGAATCACGCAGAGCATTGAGTTTTCATGAGCGGGTGGTTTGAATTCACGCATCAAGAATCATTAAATATCTGTGGAAGAAGTTGATTTCGGTGATTTTCGTTGTGCGCGTCGTGTTTTACGTGAAACTTCGGTAAAGAAACATGTATCAGAATGCTGAAATTCGTGCCTTGTCTAGTGGTCCATTGCTCCATTTTGCTCAGCAAATATGGCGCATCGATGAAAATAACTGACGGAGTGACCGAAATTCATGAGATCCTGCTTAAGAACCACGTCTCCACGCCCAAATTTGACATGCACGTGACTCTTTGATTTAAAAAAAAGAGGATGGATAGCACGGTCGTGCTACGGAAAAACGCCGTATGAATCTTCAGGCGTTGCCAAATTTCCTTTGATAAAACACGGATTGCCTGGTAAACCTATGCATATTTTCCCGCCAATTTTTCATATAATTTTGTTCGCAGCTTCACCGAAAGTTCCTGAAAATTTCAGGGGGAAATATACATATCTTTATTCAAGAATAAACATTTAATCGAAGGATATTTGGCAACTCTCGAATGTTCATACGGTGTTCTTCCCTAGCATGGCAGAGTAGTAGATGGTCTTGATCCCTGATCCTTTTTGATCATGGGTACTAGGGAGATGAATCCTTAGGTTCACATGGTCATACATGGGTGGAGAATTTAACGACATCAGGTACCTGTGGTGCCGGAGGTGTATAGTATGTACAAGGGTTCGTTGGCTTCGACAGGGACGCAAGGGTGGGGGGTAGCGTTCCGGAGAGCGTCGTCCCACAGGATGTCGATGTCTGGCTCCAGAGTGGCCTCCTCGACGTTCCGCCGTTGGAATATAATACAACATTTCGGCTTACTCCTACAGTTCTCTAGCGCCTCATTTAGGATATGCTTGTACCTGCCGACAAAAATATACCCATTATGAGAACTGATATCACCCGCCAAAACATACCAACTAGAATGAAATAGACACCACTGTGCAGCAAGCTGCGAACCAAATGATAAATCTTTATCGTTTGACGGCTTGCTTTTTGGAAATTCACGCAACCCTCATCATATTTTTGTCTCAAAGGCTATGATCTTAATTTGATGTCCTCCGCGTTTTCCGAAAGCCTCATTTTGGGGTCGAGCCAACACGAAAGAATGAGGGAACTGCCCAGTAAATTATTGATTAATGCAAATTCATTCATACAACAGAATAAACTTCCTAATAATATACAAAAAGCATAAAGTTCCCTACTATCGACGTTAAATTACTAAATGTCTTTAAAGGTTTGATTTAAAGTTTTTGCACGTTGTTTTTTTATAAAAGCATGGCCTGAGTCGCGATCATTGCATATACTTGTAAAATCAGCTAGAGATCAAATCTTGTTTTCGCATTATGAGCAGCCGAAAACTGAACAATCTTATGGTTTGATTTAATTAATCATTCTCGGGAGTCAGTCGGAACCTCAATAAACGTATGATCTAGCACTCTATTTATCAAAAATAACTGATTAAAATTCACGGACACATTCACGTTACATTGGGTATGGAAACTAAGTACCTAAGACAGTAATCTCTAATACGAGAACTCAAGAGACTGGCCGATTCCCAATAGTCGATCAAAAAAAGATGGACTCCGACATTAATAACTCAGTAGACTAAGGCACCACTTAAGGATGCAAAATCACGCGTTAAAATCACGCGTTAAAATCACGGCGCAAAATCGTGCAAAAATGTTGTATATTTGAGGTAAGCCCGACACAGAGAAATTAAGAATTTTCAACGAGCAAAGCGCGCCCAGTTGTAAACGCGCAATGCGTGAAGTATTCCTACAGCCTTGTAGGCGCTGATGTGCGCTCCGCGCCGACCGCATAGCGCATGGTGTTTGGCGCAATGCGCGAAGTATTCTTCCAGTCTTGTAGGCGCTAATATGCTTTTCGAGCCGGCCGCACCGTGTTTGGCGCGATTAGTTAAGCCCGCAAAGTCAGCGTTTTTCAACCTGTCACTACCATTAAGTTTTTGTACACTCTGTATGGATTACTGTCATTTAAAATTATTATTACAAGCGGCTAACACCATGCCCGCATCTCTCGTTAAACTGCACTGATTTGTCCGTCGCAGTATTGATTTATCAGTATGGTCATTGTTCAAGTTTTTGAGAAGGCAGATTCCTAGGTGTGACCCTCCGTTTAGGTTTCCGACAGCTCCTAACACAGAGAGTTTCTCCGTTGCCTAAAATTACTAAACTAAAATTCATATTTTCTGGCGAACAAGTTACAAAGCCACAAATTTGCTCCCTTCAAATAGTCATGAGAAACGTTACACTTCTTAAAATCCAGAAATATTTTTAAGTTATAGCTCAGGAATAATCATTCATAACTAAATTGGCAAGTTTTGTTTAGAAACGTTATACAATAAACAATTTGGTTTTCAACAATTTTTTCAATGTCCAAAGGTTGAAAACGGATGCGTCAACCTTTCGAGGAAAAATTTAAAATCAAAGTAGATAGCAATTGCCGCTGAGGGATTTTTTTTACCGAAAATAAGAAATAAATTAATCAACAAACATAATGAAAAAATGTCAAAATGATACATGTAGTTTAAACATGTAAGAAAAAAATGTGTAGTTTTCTGAAGTGGTTACTTCAATCGCGTAATATGATCCATAATTTTTTAGACTTTTTCATGAGTTTTTCAGGAGGCTCTACAGCTTTGTAAATAACACTATATTTAAACAGATATTGCATTATAAGAAATTATTTTCTATTATTTCACTGTCTATAGGGGAATCCTTGTTTCAACGGACCACTAGACAAGGTACGAATTTCAGCATTCTGATACATGTTTCTTTACCGAAGTTTCACGTAAAACACGACGCGCACAACGAAAATCACCGAAATCAACTTCTTCCGAAGATATTTCATGATTCTTGATGCGTGAATTGAAACCACCCGCTCATGAAAACTCAATGCTCTACGTGATTCACATCGCGCGCTAAACGTTATTATGAACGTCTCTGCGATAAAAAAAAAATCTGGCAACCTCAATCTTGACTCTTTGGCTCAGCTATAGCAAATTACTTATAGTTTGAAAAACACCTGGTGGGAAATGAAAATTGCTCGATTGAGAAGCTTGCTGAGACCGTTGTAGTGCGCGATTTGACTCACGTAGAGCTTTGAGTTTCTTGTGAGCGGGCAGTTCAAATTCCTCGTGACCAATGTGAAATAAAAACGTTAATACTTCCTTTAGGAGTTAGTTTTAGTAATTTTCGTTGCGCGAATCGTGTTCTTCGTGAAATCCTCGTCAATAAACATGTATTAGAATGCTTAAATTTGTACCTTGTCTAGTGGTCCATTGTGCGACAAGAGGAGTAGATTTTTATCTTGATTGGAATGATTTTAAAAGTCTCGACTTCAGTTTTCCTTTCTGAATACAAGCACATGCGATATTGTACTATTCGGAAAGATTGCTAGAGAGGGGTTGCATTATCGAGTCATACCTTACAATTTTATGTGGTTCGACTCCGCAGCTGGCGGCGATGATGACTTTGGGCTCTGCGTGGTCTATCCTCGCGCACAGCTCCCGCGCGGCGAATCCTGCTTTGTGGACAACAAGAGAGAATCAGGACTCTGACAATCAGGGAAAAAACATTGATCATATAGAAAAGTTTGAGTTCAAGTTCAGTTTACTCTCTTATGCTACTTTTACAAAATAAATCACTAATCTAGCATGCATAATGCTATTTTCGTAAGTATACGGCAACTTCAACAACTTTTACAAAACGCGAGTTTGACATAATTTTACAAATGTAGTTTTACGTTTATAAAACTGCTACTTTCGCTGATTATTTACGCTGCTGTAGCCGCGCCTGCTGATGAAACTGCAAAAAATGTATTTTTCAAAAAATAAAAAATAGAAAAAAAAATAAAATAAAAAACAGCAAAATTTGCTAGTTTAGCAAGGTTCTTTTTCCGTGCAGATGAAAATCCGATGCCCAATAATTTCAACTGAAATTTTGAAAGTCATTCAATTCACGACGCAGAAAGTGTCATTATTGCATTATTTAGTATTGGTCTCCGCTGAATTTGATGTTCCATAAGAGCCTAATCAGGCTCAGGTGCCAATAATTGTCTTCATATCATCCCACTATTTTGGTACAGCTGTCAGTCCCCATATTTCCTAAGGACTTTCATTTCACACCGGGTTTATTGACACATTAGTCTGAATTTAGAGCAATCCCAAGGTGTCTTCATATAATTTTATACCGACTGTAGGAAAATCCATTATTGTTTCATTAAATAGTCCGATGCCAGTTTGATTCAATTTAACCTCGACGGAATGGGGAAAAATATAAAAATTCCTTTTTTCAAGGAGAAGTGAAGACGAAGGGGAAAACTAAGAAATGAAACAAGAAGAATAAGAAGAGAGTTGCTGTATGGACAACTTGCCTCCGAATACGACGGAGTGGACGGCTCCTAGCCTGACGGTGGCCAGCATTGACATCACAGCTTCAGGAATTAGTGGCATATAGATGAGGACGCGGTCGCCTTTTTTCACCCCTTGTCCTGCCAGGGCACCTGCCAACAAAGAGACCTGTTCCAACAATCAAACTCAAGTCCATTAACTCACTGACCGATCAGTGGCACTAGAGTACCTATATTGAGAGAGAATGGCCACTGGGCCTCATGGAGAGGCTTAGGACCCAAAAATGGCGGTGCTTTGTTTTGATTTTTGTGGATGGGAGGGGGGTCATTGCCAACTTTTGACGGTTTTCACCAACCGCACTTGCTGCCAACCTTACTACATCTGAGATAATTTTTCACAAAAATTGCACACGATTAGCCTTAAAAATATGTATACAGATGTCGCAATAGTGCATTTGAGTAAATTTCTCGTTACGATAAGCAAAGAAAACTACATTTTGAGTCATTTTGCATAACATTAATTTATGGCGTCCGCCATTTTTGGGTCCTAAGGGCTCCATTTAGCCTAAGATGGCTTAGCCAATCAGAGGTGGTAACCCCAGTGGCCATACTCTCTCAATATAGGTACTCTAAGTGGCACCTCCCCCGTATCCTTCTGAAAAGATATACCTATCTAGTCACCATGGTGGGTTCATCTTAACGTCACTTTTCACAGGTACTTATATTATACTATAAATATGGCACCAAGCCGCATTACGTAGTATTTTCATTAATTTTAAATCAACATATAAATACACATAATAGGTTTCACATCTTTGCGTGATCTCTTCCAAGCAAGGCCAATTTTCTCTCTTCTGTAATCGTGTAGTTTCGACATGATATTTGACCAATGGTTGCGATGAAAGGCCATGCTGGTATCTTTTTCAAATTATACCGGGAAATCTCGTGTGATCTCTGTTGGCTCTTGATAAAACTGGTGTCACATCTTCTTCTATAAGTCATCAACCTCAATGCGCAATTTTTTTTAAAAACTTGCCAGGTTCTATGATGGATCCTGGATAATTCCAAGGTTATTAATTTTTCCTTGCGCAAGACTGAAACAGAGTCACGTTCAGCACAGAATTTTTTTCGGTTCCAAATAAATCAGTGACGTGGCGTGGCGTGGCGTCCTTTGCGATGTATCGATTGATCTGTCATTTAAACCTATCGTATAGGATCGACAAACGGGTGTTCGCACCGTGCACTTTGATTATCGATTCTTTACCACAGCTTCGAATGGGGACAGTTCGATAATCGATTATCACGCTGCGCCACTGCCAGGATTCCCTGACTTAGTGACAACTCCGACTATTGGCTTTAGAGGAACTGTATATTTTCGTTCTCGTTCATCGTCTGCCTCTTTAAAACGCGCCCCTCCTCTACGAGCTGATTATTGAAATTGATAGGCTTTATAGATAAAGAGGACAAGAGGGATATGGAGGGATCGATTAGTGAAAGTGAGTAATACAAATGAGATCGGGACAAAGAGGGTAATAGACCAACTAACCACCCAAGAACCACCAACCCAAGAACCACCAACCCAAGAACCACCCGCTTCAACCAATAAGATCGCTTCATACGCCCTGTGTCTTCTTTGTCTATCGCTTTGTCTATCAGTTTCAATAATCAGCCCGCTAACTAGAGAACGTATATGGATTTCCACGTGAGATCTGTCGTCTATAGAACTCCATGCTCTCCGCGGCTCACGTGGGAAGAAGATACTCCCTCTAGTCAGAGGACTGACTATTTTAACCGATAGATAAAGCGATAGACAAATAAGACACAGGGAGTGTGGAGCGACCTCATTGAGTGAAACGGGTGGCTGTGCTTTTGGATAAATTCACGAAAAATTTATAAAAATGGAGATTCAGATCGCATGTACATTGAACTAAAGAAGTGTTTTCAAAGGTTACTTTTATGAAACACAATTTCATATAAACAGCAAAAAATGTGCGTATATTCTGACTCTTACCTGTTCTTGCAACTCTGCATAAGTAACACGACGTATAGACTTGGTAACTGGACTATCGTGGATGAAAGCGACTTTCTTGCCATTTCCGGCTTCAACATGCCTATCAACCGCGTTGTAGCAGGCATTTAGTTCTCCTCCTACAAACCTTGAGGCATCAGACATTCACGTATTCATTGCATGATATTAAGAAACAAAAATTTCAGTGTCTCACAGAGTTGAAAAGTTTACACCGCTGCTTTTGCACTTTGTGCCGAAATAAATGAAGAGCGTCGGCTATCATATAAAAGCGACGAATTGACGGGTTAAGCACTTGAAAGTAACATTTTGAAAGTTTAAAGTAATCGACAGCAAAATCGCGATTCACCTTCATGGGAATGATTATTTTTTATTTTCCGTATTCTTGAATTATTTTGTTCTGTGTATTGTTGTTTGTCACGTATATTTTCGTGAGTTCAATAACTAAACATTTTATTTCAGGGAATACACCCGTTAATACTTTTTTTGGAGGATTTCACTCTCAAATAAATATTTCGAGAAGGGTGGCTAGTTTTACTTCTTGTTTTGAAATTCACCTTTCACAGGACTTTTTTTCAAGATTCCAGACTTATGCAAATTTGAGGATCCCTTTTGAATAGGTCCACTTCACCCCTTTCCACAGTCCTATCGTGTTTAGCAATGGTTTCTCTGTGGCTCATTTTTCAATTTCGGAGGATGGCGGGAGGGCGGTATACTGCCGTGCTTAGGAAAAAGGTCGTAAGAGCCTTCAAGAGTTGCCAAATTTCCCTTGGCAAATCACTAATTTTCAGGTAATTTTTTTACATATTTGTCTACCAATTTCTCAGATAATTTTGTTTGCAATTCGATCTAAGACGTCTGAGAATGTCAAGGAAAAATATTCATAATTTTCCTCAAAAATAAACATTTTCTCGAAGGAAATTTGGCAACTCTCGAATGCTCATACGGTGTGCTTCCTTAGCACGGCAATAGTTGCCAATTTTTCGTACACTCTAAAAAGGCAAAAGTCAATACTCCAGATATGTGAGGATGAATCTTTTTGGCTCTCATGAGAAAGTAAGTCTCGAAAGGAGAAAATATTTGGCGAGCTTTCACTCCTGTAAGCTCCCTCTATGGAGCTGTCTAGAAAATTTGTCTTCATAAAAACCTCCAGATTAATCATCACATATTTCTTGAGCATTGTTATTCGTTAGTTCTTTTTGAACTTTGAACTCATTTGCAACTACACCGTCCTCCTACAACATTTAAAAATATGTAATTTGGGCAACGTAATACATGTGCTAAAAGGTTACTCTCGTGTGACTCTCAAAATCCAATATTTTTGGATTCCGAAAAAAGTATCTCATCAGGACAGTTGAGAACAACGGGGTTTCCCCCATTTTTGAACTTTAAAAAACGTTAACAATAAGTCATCCTAATGGGCAGTATGAATGATACTCATGCCGAAATCTGACTCCCCTGATAAAAATTGGCGAAAGGAACTGCGTTTCAAAATACCATAGGAGTTCTTATAGCCGACTGAAGAAAGCGATAGAAAATCATATAGCTGGCTGTAGAAAGTGGAAAAAATCATACGGCCGGGCTACACGAAGCGATAAAAAATTATACAGCCGGGCCATAGTTCCTATCGCCGGGCTTTACACTTTATCGCCTGGCTGTTGCTTTTTCGCCATCAACTATAAAAGGCTATAAGAAATTGTGTAGAAATTCGTGTGCTTTGTAAATAACTGGAAAAACGCATCTCGCGTGTTGTTATGATAAAGATAAAAAAGATGAAAAAGTATACCGAAACACGCATATTGTTGAATAAAGTTTAATGGCTTGGATGCATTTCGGGCTTAGCCCATCTTCAGCAAGCACTTAAAACAAAACACAGAAACAAGTTAAATTACAGTAAAGAATTGTCACAATGCATGGTGGAGAAGAATATCGAGAGGCAAAGCGAAGTAAAACACTTGGGAACTGGTCAAAAATGAAAAAAATGTTAAAAAATATTTAAAAATGTTTAAAAAACCAGTGGGAATAGCTGATAGAGTTAGCAGAAAAATATAGTAAACAAAATGAAGTATAGAGTGAAAGACACTAATTTTAAATAAGGGCATGGCTACCTACCACAGCTAGGCAACCAGTAATACAGAGAAGACCAGACAAGCTTTAGTAGAGATATAGTTGAATGCATAAATCAGTTAAGCTAGAAATGCAATTCCGTATATCTAATTGGGAGTTTAACAAGACATTATTATTGAGGATGGCTCGCCTTATTTCGATAGATTCCAGGACGCTAATAGCTTTGTTGTCGGTGTTATTGTGCAAAATATTCATTAAACTTTATTCAACAATATGCGTGTTTCGGTATACTTTTTCATCTTTTTTAGCTTTGTAAATCCTTAAGTTTGTCCGGAATTACCTTATTATTCACAAAACGCACATTATATTTTCCTTTTTTACATATTTTTTTTCATCAATTAAAATGAGAATAATCCATACAGGGTGTGCAAACATTTCAAAGTCATGAGTTGAAAAACGCTGACTCCGCGAGATTAAATATTAGAGCCTAACACAAAGCGGAGCGGCGGCGCACTGGCGCCTACAAACCTAACAGGGATACTTCACGCATTGCGCAATGCGTGAAGTATCCCTGTTAGGTTTGTAGGCGCCAATGCGCGTTCAGCGACGGCTGCCCGCCCGCCGCGCCGCAGCGTACCGCGGCGCTTGAAGCAACTATTTCACACCAGAGGTATTGCACAGTATCAGACGAAATTGAAGGCGCTCCAACATATTAGGAATGGCAGGCATCCTTCAAAAGAACGGAGCTTTCCTCGCATATTAAATCACGATACTGCGGCCCAAAAAGAGAGCGGTCGTCCAATAACTCACTAATTCCTAGCATCCGTAATTAGTAACGTTTAGCATACACTTTATCACCAGGCTGTTGCTTAATCGCCATCGGCTATAAAAGGCTATAAGAAATTGTGTTGCCGGCTAAAGAAGCTATTGAAAATCTTACAGCCGGCTGTAGGTCTATGGTATTTTGGAACACAGATTCTACTGCCAATTTTTACCAGGATCCATTGGAATGCAAAGGAAGAGGGTGTCTTGCAAAATTGTTCATTAAATTTCGGATCTTTTCGTATTAATAGACAACACAATTTAGAATAAATGATACAAATGTCCAATCATTTGGAAAATTAAGCAATGCGCGGACGCAACTTTAGAGTTATTTTGCTTTCTTTCGTGATCGCAATCGAATTGTATTTTATCCCCTCAACTTGAGGTTGCTCTGCTGTGCTTATTTCGAACTCTTCGATCGGAGATTTTGAGTAGGGCATCATGGTGTTGGACAGAAAAATCATTTAATATGGAAGACTTACCACTTTGTGAAAGGTTGTTCTGAATTGTCGATGACTTTTTTCCACGGTTTTGTCCAACTAACTTTCCTGGCTACGTCTGACCAAAATATTTCTGGCTGCTCTAAGGAAGTTTGAAACGCCTCGTAATATTTTTCACTATAATATGGACTCGGCTTTGGAATTAAATCTGAAAAGAAAAAACGTGCTCTTAACTGAAAGTAGAAAATTTGGCTCGCTCCCTTCCAATTATTGAAGTATGATTGATGGAAATTGAATGTTTAGGATGGTGTGCGGAGGTATTTGTGGGGAGTAAGATATATGAATCAAGAGAGATCGTTGATGAAGGTCTTAAAAAGAGCGGATCAACTGCCACCATGTCTTTTACGAGGGTATACCATAAAGTAAGTTTCCCTATTTTACTTCTCAAAAAGTATCTTAGATACAGCAAATATGTAAAAAGAATGTAAAAACATTACTTTTGGGTATACTGAATACTCTCGTAAAAGAATTTACGAGTGTTTTCAGATCAGGTCTGATAATATGTTAGGATGAGAGTCTCTTTGAGAATGAATTCCCTTATGAGAGATACGGATTCGACTTTGAGGTGTTACTTTATAATGAATCGAGAAATATAATTGACATCTCGATCGATATTTTAGCATTTGTTCCTCGGGTTTTTTTGTTTTTTAAAAGATGAAGTGGTTTTGAAGTCGGCCAGTTTTTAAGAAATTTTTTTGGGAAGCGCTGCGCTGTGAATACGACAAAAATGACCACACATTTTTTATTCCAAATAAGTTAATCAAAAATGTCTTCGTTAAAAAAAAACTCAAAATAGACCATACTAGAATGCAAGAAAGGGGCAAATGATTTATTTTTTTACTGTTTGGAACAAACAAGTATTGTGCAAATTTTATACTATTTATTCATCATAGCTCCGAGGTATCTTGTTCAGACCATCCTCCGTGGCTCCGATAGGCGGTTTTGCAAGGGTGTGAGGGGTTGTCGAGTTGTCCTGAGTAAAAACTCGGTACAGGTACTGGAACCTTAAAAAAGGTTTTAAATTTAATGAAAAGAGGCTATTTCAGCAAGAGTCTCAATTTTCGAGGAGAAAATCCTCAAACCCCCTTCTTGCCGATGGCCTTTACCTAAATTTTCACTTCCCCCACGAGGTCGAACGCATGTCACAACCTTAAGAATGAGGACCTAGGATAGCTCATGCTGCGGCCCTTAAAAAATGCTAGTGCTCCCATTTCCCGGAACTAGTTCCGAATTCCGGAACTTTTGAGATTTTCCTAAATTCTTCCCGGAACTTTTGAAATTCCCGAAATGTTCCGGATCTCTTACATTTTCAGGGACTTTCTCGGAACTTCTGAAAAAATCTAAAAGGAATCCCGGAACTTTTGATGGTCATGGAGTGGGAGAGAGTAGGACAAAAAAGTTCTGAATCCCGGAACTTTTGACGGACATGTAGCTCATGCTGCGGCCCTTAAAAAATGCCAGTGCTCCCATTTCCCGGAACTGGTTCCGAATTCCGGAACTTTTGAGATTTTCCTAAATTCTTCCCGGAACTTTTGAAATTCCCGAAATGTTCCGGAGCTCTTACATTTTCAGGGACTTTCTCAGAACTTCTGAAAAAATCTAAAAGGAATCCCGGAACTTTTGATGGTCATGGAGTGGGAGAGAGTGGGACAAAAAAGTTCTGAATCCTGGAACTTTTGTCGGACATGGAATGGGAGCACCGAAAAATGCCATTCAGACAATGACTTATCTTTCCAAGTACAATGTGACTGTATTCGAGGTCCGGATTTTGCATGAGCTTCAAAATTTACCATACATTGATACGTAAAAATAGCATCACGGGCCAATCAGAATAGTCTGGATAAATTCAAATAGTAATGTGACTTCTCTCGAGTATATTCAAGTAGGACTGTACGCCCGGACAAAATTTGGACCCTGAGCTAGAAAAAGTACAAGGAAAAGAGAGATGTAAAAGGTTTCAAGGATGCATTAGCCCAGGAATCAAGCACAAATGCATATTCTTCGTGATAATTCAAATCCAAACACGGCTACCTTGAAATGGAAACGGTTGAAATTTTGGCCCGGCAGACTACGAAAAGAAGGGCAAGGATCAAACAATTATTTTTGTTCCCTTGAACCTGACAGGGTTCTGGTTCTCTTCCCTATTTTGTATACTTTTTCCTCGTTCGTTGGATTATGAACTTGCTACGAAAATCCGAGTCACCTTTGGGGCAGAGGTGGGTGCAGACTCTGCGTTCAAAAGGGGCTTCGACCCACAAACCTTGAATTTGCTTGACTCTCGAAGACGGAGTGTCATCGTTGGCGGAAAAGAAAGCAGCTCGAAATGGAGCGAGCACGTCAAACTGTCAGGGCAGCACTTCACATTCACATCCCACTGCCTCAGATCACTCTCGCCGACTTGGGCTAGGTCAGGATACCGAGCGGAGGTTTCCCCGACCCGCCTTAAAAATGAAGACGAGATTCTTGCCAGCTCAATTCGTGCTCGAAATTTGAGACTGTCTGGCCGCGATAGCCGGACGGGTTGTAAGACATTTCGTCAACGATTTTTTGTCCGCGCACCTGGTTTTTTCCAGGAATTTACGTCCACGCGTTTTTTCGGCACGGGAGTTTTGGTCCACGTAGCAGTTGAGACCCAAAGTTAATTGGCCCACATGTAAATACAAACGACAATTGCTCACGATGTTTTTGGATGAAAATATATAATGTCTTGGAAGAATGAGGGTTTGCTTGCTTTTTTTGTTTTGTCTGTTTGGTCCAACGGAGAATAATATATAGTTGAGAGTTTTGGTGAAAATGGGGGAGCGTCAATTCCATGAGACTAAATTCACTAAAACTCTCAACACCTCTTTGGTGTAACAGGAGAAATTCCCACCTTGTTATACCTCAACCGGATAAACCTCCATATTTGCCTCAGCTAAAGGCTCTTAGATTTTTCCAGTGTACGATAAGTATCTTGATTTATTTTGCGAGGAAAGATCTGTGCTTTTAAAGGATGCCTGTCATTCTTAATACGTTCAATTTCGTATAATACTGTGCAACACCTCTGATGTGAAATAGTTACTTCAGGCGCCGCCGCACGGCGGGCGGGCAGCCAGCGCGAAACGCGCATTGGCGCCTACAAACCTAAGTGGATACTTCAAGCATAGTGCAATGCGTGAAGTATCCACTTAGGTTTGTAGGCGCCAATGAGCCTCTCGAGCTGGCAGCACGTCGCTCCGCTCTTCTAGGCTTTAATATTTATACTCGCATAGTCAGCGTTTTTTAACTCATGATTTTGAAATGTTAGTACACTCTGCATTGGTTATTCTCATTTAAATTGATGGGGAAAAAATATGTATCAATTTATCAAAGTAGAATAATAATATAATGTGTGTTTCTTAAATATTGGTGGTTCCGTGTCAAATTTAATGATTTCCAAAGCTTTTTAATTTTTTCTTTCACATTTTGTGCTTTTATTGTGCTGCAGCGAGGTGTACGCGCTACCGAACGCTCAAAATTTGACGTATTTGACTCTAAAAGATCGATGTACAAATGGATTAAAACTAAAGATTGCGTGCTTCTTGGTTTTTACCCTCTTTTATTCATTTTTGCAGTTTCTTTCGGCACAACTACGGCTCATTGAGATTAATGTCGCTTGGTAAAGTTTTTACAAATATTTGTCACGTTTTAAAAATATAAATCTTTTCAAAATGAAGTAATAATTTCGTAAAGAAAAAAAAAGTACCTATACATATATAAGGTATATTGTACATTCAATATTTTAAGGATAGAAATAAAACCAAATATTCACTAATGACAATTTAAAAAGATGATTCAAAAGGAGAAAGTAATAACATTTCATTTAGAAAATGAGCAACCATAACAACACCTCCTTCTCTCTCAATATCTCATTTCCATATTGTCAATATAATTTTACATACCGACTAAACGCTTGGGCGCGCGCACTTTTACGCTTGGACCAAGTCACTGTTGCTTATATTACGTGTGGGCGTAAACTACTGGACAAAAAAGGTGCACGGACAAATAATCGTTGACAAAATGTCCTGAAACCGCCGGACGTGGCCGAAGGTCGGGAAACTTAAATAAAAAGTAGGTTGGCAATATCCGAGAATACGAGAATACGAGAATACGAGATTACTAAAATACGAGATTACGCCGAGGAAAGCAACTTGAAAATAGACGAAAAGGATCAGTTCAGAGGAAACAGACCGGTTGGATTGCGAGACAGGAGTAGGAAGAAAGTAAGAAAATGCAGATCTCCGGCTAGACGGACTGGAAATAACGAAAAATGGATAAATGATAACGCGGAAGAGCGAGCAAGTTTTTCTCAAGACACGTTCGAAAGTAAAAGAGAATTGTCGTAAAATTAATGCATAGTATCTTAAAAATTAGGTTCCAAATTGCCCCATCAAAATTGGACGAGAAATATTCAATATAATTTCGAAGAAACACTGTAATATATTTGTTTCCTCTTATCCTGTCCCGTATTTGCTCGATTTGAAAATTGGTGAAATTATCGCTCTGAACTTATTCAACTCGATGCATTAGTGTTTTCATTGCTGCATACTTAATATCACATTGGTATAAAATGATGATAATGGATATTTATCAATATGATAATGAAGTATACCGGTCCTTTTTGGACCTATTCCCTCTTCTCTTAGCGAGAAATTTATTTGTCACTATTGCTGGTTTGTTTTTTAATTCAACGGATCATCAAATCCTACAACCCGAAACGTTACCTAAAAAGTTAATAAAGGCGAGTGAGTCAGAATGAGAGTGGGGCATTGTTAGATGAGTGACTTAATCTGTGACTACTCTTGATACTAAATGAATCTGATGAAAGTAATTGCTTTCGAGCCGCTCAAACTGCCTACTCAAGATATTGAAGGCGGACCGGCCAAAATGAACTCGAGATCTTAGATAAAAGGATATCCTCCGCCAGTTCTACGTCTAAAACAAATTAACAAGACCAATATGCTGCAAGCTACTGCAATTGCTTCTAAGCAGACACAATTGCTCTCACTGCCCGATTAGACTCCAAAAAGACAAGAGTTTCAGTTCTGGATCCCTGAGACGCAAACATTCAAAGTGTCTGTCAATAATAAGTAATTTGTTTCGAGTTCGATTTGTAGGTTCATAAAATGTTTGAAGTGATCGGAAGACCCACAAAAATTCTCATGGAACCCAAGGTTTCTCATTAGAGCAATTAATCAAGCTGGCAGGACAGTTCTAGAGGTGTCAATCTTCGAGGACAATTTGACTATTTTATAGTGCATCGAATCGATCGCTAAAGTGCGACACCGCGAATCTCCACCGTGGTGTTTCAAAATGTTCCGCTCCTACGCTATTTGTTCGAAAAAGAGCGAGCCAATTTTATAACTTGCAAGCAATACAGAATTTTCTACTGACAGGAAAGAAAAATCAAGGAAGTTTCCAAGAAATACGTGGACTAGTTTTCCAAAGAGACAATAAAGTATGACTGGAAGTCTACACACTGAAAAAAAATTCTCGGCGTCTTTACCAAGGTCCGTTGGTACCTTTACCATCTCACTTTTTTTTACCAATTATTGGTAATTTTACCAAGACAGACTGGTAAGCTTACCTAAAAACAGGTATTTTTACTGTTTTTTTCAGGTAAGAATACCACTTTTATGGGTAATCAATTCCCGGTAACTTTGCCATTTTATCTCGGTAATTCTACCACAGTCGATAAAAAATATTGGAATATATCCAAGTAAAATGCACTGAAAAAAAATTCTCGGCGTTCTTACCGAGGTCCGTTGGTACCTTTACCATCTCACATTTTTTAACCAATTATTGGTAATTTTACCAAGACAGACTGGTAAGCTTACCTAAAAACAGGTATTTTTACTGTTTTTTTTCAGGTAAGAATACCACTTTTATGGGTAATCAATTCCCGGTAACTTTGCCATTTTATCTCGGTAATTCTACCACAGTCGATAAAAAATATTGGAATATATCCAAGTAAAATGCACTGAAAAAAAATTCTCGGCGTTCTTACCGAGGTCCGTTGGTACCTTTACCATCTCACTTTTTTTAACCAATTACTGGTAATTTTACGAAGACAGACTGGTAAGCTTACCTAAAAACCGGTATTTTACTGTTTTTTTTCAGGTAAGAATACAACTTTTATTGGTAATCAATTCCAGGTAACTTTGCCATTTTATCTCGATAGTTCTACCACGGTCGATAACGAATATTGGCGTTTTTACCGGGGTCCAGTAAAATTACCGAGAATGTTCAATAATTTTATCGAGATTTCTCGGTAAAATTACCAATTCCATAAATGGTAATTTTACCAAGAAAAAACTGGGATCAAATAGAACCCTGAACTCTCGGTAATTTTACCCTTTTCTTAGTAAATACACCGAGATTTTTTTTTTTTCAGTGAACGTTGCAAACGGAGGTACGTGGTTTCGCACTTTAGCCATCGATATACGGAATTTTTCTTCGATTTCCTCGCAAAGTGGCAAGTATATTTTGAGGGAATATTCCAACTCCCTCCACAAAATATTAGCCCCATGACAGTCGGTGAAAAGTTTCAACTCAAAACTCTCCTACAAAATGGACAACGATGGCCATCTGACCGCGGCAAGTTGAAACTCCCAAACCAGGGTTAGAATCCGAGGCATTTACGCGAACATCTCATGTAGTTCCCACCTCCCCCCCTCCCCCCTGTCCCTCGATGCCAGGTTAAGTGGGTGCTACTAGGGAAAGTAAAAGTAATTTATCAGACTCCAGTGACTGATCCGAGATATGGACTTAAAATTCCACGGTTACCGCATCACCGGCGAGGATTTAAACATTTAATCCTCGATGTATCTGTCACCCCTCTCCGCTGTTGGGGCAGGTTCCATCCTTCCCCTCTACCCTCCACCCCTTGACGCTTCCACCCCTCACCTGAGTGGCACGCAGTTATTATTTATGGCTTGTTTTTTTCTGCACAGTCCTGGGCTCGCTTCTGGCAGGGGCGGACTCGCGCCCTAACTTTTCAGAATATTCACCGATTCTCCAGAGAAGGGATGGTAATGTGATCGGGACATCAAACATGGTAGATGTTTGTCTATGCGTGTATAAAATTTACGAACCCAAGTAGCAGTGATCGCGATAAATAACGATTTTATCCGGTGGTTATCGCGCGTATATCGGTGGCAATATGTCGAGATATTATCGCATTAAAAATTGCGATAAATGGTGATTAAATCGCTACAAATCGCAATTTTTGGTTCGATAAAATCGTGATCAATTTTCGTCGATAAAATCGAGATTAAATCGCTATTTATCGCGATTTTTATTTAAAAAATACCGCGATAAATCGTCGTGCGATAAAAGCGCGATTCTATCTCGATAGGATCGAGGATAATCGCTCAGATGTTGATGGTCCTGACGATTTTATTGCTGATAAAATCACAATATATAGCGATTTTTCCGTTGAGAAATGCTACTTGGGAAATGATGCTTTAGAATAGAATTTAGAGTAAAAACACAAAACTATGGGCCGTTTACTGTATGTGACTGGATGGTGGAGTATTGCTGAGCTCACCCAATGCAATGGGGAGATCAGAGCGGAGGAAATAGCACAAATTACAAAACGGAAGTTAAAAAAACATTCTAATACGTTTAGTGAAAAATTGGGAGGAAAGGGTGCATTTAGCCCAGAATAGAATTAAAATTGTTCGGTATTATTATTATTTTTTAGAACATTCAGAATGAGCATTCTGCATTTATAACCATTCCCTGAACCATATTTTTTTTTTCTGCCTTAAATTTTATGTAATGAAAATTGTACATGTCACTATTATGTTTTATCGCGCGTGTATCTATTGACTTTTTGTGCCTCATTTTCTCAGTTTTTCTGAGTGTAACGTCCTGCCTGTAGCATTCCTGGCTTTCTGCCACTTTGAAAATTGCTTGGGTTGGCAGCTGCGACTTACGATACTCGAATCAGCACCCCCGGCAGGCGGGGTTGTAACTTCCATCCGGTCCCTCTACATTTTGTCTCCATACCAACCTCTTGTTTGGTCCCTTCCGTTATAAAAGTGTAGGTATTCTTCGGAACACCCCCCCCCCTCTTTTGTGAGGTGGTTCAGAATTTTTTTTTCATCGAGAGAGTTATAGAGGCTGTTGGTCTTCAAAAGTCACTTATTTAAGATTTTTCAAGTGGTTTCTAGTCTCTTGCATCCTTTTCCGTGAGGGAAGACACTGAGGTTCGTCATTTGCGCTCCCAAAAAAATTTCGGCTGTAGAATTTTAGATTTTTTCCATTGTGCACCGTTTGCCAATAACATTAAATTTTCCTCGAAATCCTTGTTTTTGAGGAAAGCCTTCATTCACCAGAAAATGGTGGATGTGCAAAACAAGTAAGGTCATTTTCGGACTCAGCACTAAAAATAAATAGTGGAAGCAACTATCAAACCCTTAGCTTTTTTTATTTTTTTCTTCTTTACGGGATTGTCTTATTCCTTCAATTAGTGAGCTTTGAATGCCTGCAATTCCTCAGCAACAACCAGCTCAGCCAATGTGGATGTTCATACATTTTTTATGGTCTGGACATATAGGACTACCATGCTAAGATTGGTGAATCTCTTGGGCCAAAAAACCTTTCTTCATGAGGCACATTTTTTTTGTTAGTAACTCTTAATAACCTATACTTACTGAATAAAGGAGAATAACCTATCAAAGAGTTGTTACCCGCCTACTTTACAATCGGCCCAGTGGGTATCTGAATAGGGCTATGACAATAAATGAAAATTAGAGTGCCAGAGAGCTTATAATTGAGAGGCTTGAAGGACCAGGCAACTGAGTGCAGTTTTTGAAAAAACTGAGATATTAATGGTTTCAAGTAGAAACTAATCTTAATGCACATTCCGTGAAAAGTTCGCTCCCAAATTCCAATTTGTAATTATCATAAAGTCAGTTCCAACTTTCTTTCAGTCATAAGGATCGATGTAATTTCGAAACTTCACACAAGTATTTCTCAAAATAGCAAAAACTGCACTTATGCGCCTTGTCCTCCTAGTCCCTCAATGGAGAATTTGCATGCAAATTTTGTATTGCTTCATCTGAAAGTGCTTAAAGAGCTGATTTCACAGTATATTTATAATTTTTTCTGATAAGGGAAATAGCACAAAGATAGATTTAAAAGTGAGAAAATGCACCGCCTAGTGACGTCATCTGGCGGCATTTCCCATTTAACACCCGTATTTTAGTAGATTAGATCATTTTGTCTTATCTTCTCCAATGATTGTTCAATTCATGAACCAAGGGTATCCTCGTGTTCGGTTCACTCATTAGTTTCCACTTAATTACGAAATTCATCAAATTTCAGATCTCTGCAATTGTAGATTTGGGATCTTGCTATAGAGGGAGAGAGAATACACTAGGTACTACGAAAAGAGCATTGAACGCGAAGCTCACCTTCTAGTTCAAATTTGATATCCTGGTTTTGGGCTTCGATGGATTTTTGAAAGCAGTTCAAGATCTTATCCTTAGAGTCGGCACTAGCGGTCTCCTTGCAGTAACCTCCATCGCCGTTGCGTTGGTCCAGCATCTTTCGTCGGGAATTCCGAAAATCCGAAATCACAAAATCACACTCGACGAGGCACGGCCGCACCCCGAACTAGTCCGTTAACCGGATCGCAGCATTACTTAGTTTTAAAGAAATCCGATAGAGTCCGCGCACGTGCTGAGGATCGGAGAATCGCACCGTCACGAAGCTGAGGTGGGAGACGAGGGACCGGACACCGGACTAGGGCGAACTTGAAAACCTAGATCGCGGAGATGAGGGATTTTTTCATGGTCTCCGGACGCAGATATTGGCGGGTTTTCCGAAAATGTCGGCGATGACTGGTGGACTTCACCTCGAGCCGATCCGAGGCTCCCGCACCTCCCAGGACCGGGAAATGAATATTCATGGCCTATCGATGACCTATGATGCCAACTCGCTGGGATCTCCACCATCATTTGCCCTAATTAATTGAAGAAATCAGAGAAACACACATCTCAAGCCGCCACATTCTAACTCCTATCTCGGCTCCCCAGTACCTATTCGGAAATTCGCCCTCGCTTCACGAAGGACACGGCGCAGGTAATCTGTGAGTAATTTGTGATGGCATCTTGTAAAATGTGCCTGGAGGTGGATATTCCAATCGTCCAGTACCCAGAAAAGACCGATTTTAGGTAAAACTATCGATTTTTAGCTTTTAGTGTAATATATACGTATAACTATTACACAAAATGAACATAGAAAAAACGGGGTCAAGGCTAATGATACATTAACATTGAAAATCGGGACGTTTTGGAGCTAAACAGCTCCCATCTCTAACCGAAAACAAACAAAATGAAAATGCTACAAAAACACACACATGCAGAGGAAACCTAGGTTTGATCCGCTACATGCTTGGTTCGGACTGATAACCTAGCAAACTCCTAGTAGGTGTTTAGTGGTTCAAGTCTCGGGTTTCTCTGCATGTGTATTTTTAAGCATATTTATTTTGCTTAAGATGGGAGATATTTAGCCCCGAAACATCCCAATTCGTAATGTACAGTGCGTTTATAGCTTTGACTCTGTTTTTTGTGTGTTCATTTCATATTGCATCGGACTACGAAAATTGTTCTCTTGATATAGATACTGCTATGTATAGTATCTACATAACAAGAACGAAAAGACAACAAAATTCAAGGGGAATCTAGGCTAAAAAGACACATAAAACTCGGGACGTTTCCATCTGATTTCCCAGATTATTTCAATCATAAAACTCGAAATTTAAATAAAAATGAATATACAAATTACGTAATAAAAACCCGTGAATGATTAATATGACCCCAGTGGATATTTCATTTTAGTTCCATATGACCTAAGAAACCAGGTCGAAAAGACCCGAGTTTTTTTGTGTTTTTTCAGACATGCTTCCCACTCAATTTTGTTGTCTTTTTGTTCTTGTTGTGTATGTGTCGGGCTACCATACCGTATCAAAGTTGTATTACATCTACTATAAATAAATACATTGATTTTGTTTTGATAGTGTTTGAGGAACGAGCTATGTTATCTTCATCGTTTTGGCGGTAAGAAATACATTTTCTAAAATGTTTACCTTTTTGGTAGCATATCCGCGGTGTCCCACCCTTCATCCGCCGTGGGTTTGGGTAACCCTCAGAAGAGATAGTCGGGGTAGCTTGACTCAGCGAGGGATTTTTAGGGGTAGTCGCCAAAGAAAAAGTCCCTGATGATACACAACTCTCGCAAAAATACCAATTTTAATGGGTCAATTGCGCTGGTCACAAAATCGTGTTTTCATGCTTGATTCTTGTAGATAAGCTGAAGATGATAAGATCTGTCTAATCCGCAACTTTCTACGTTCAATAATAACTAAGGTATCGCCCTCTGTAAAGCCGGGGTTTCGACGTCATCCACCGCGGTAGTGACACCCTTGGTTTCTTCCACCTTGCTTTCATCAGTCAGCGTGACCCACATTTGCACTGGTGGTTTAACGTGAAACTCAGATGAAAGCAAGGTGGAAGAAACCAAGGGTGTCACTGCCGCGGTGGATGATGTTAAAACCCCGACTTTACAAAGGGCGATACCTCAGTTATTATTGAACGTAGAAAGTTACGGATTAGACAGATCTTATTATTTTTAGCTTACCTACAAGAATCAAGCATTAAATCACGATTTTGTAACTAGCGCAAGTGCTATGCATCTTTTGGGGCGCTTGTGAGACCCCGGTTATAGTACATTTCGTCAACGATTTTTTGTCCGCGCACCTGTTTTTTCCAGTAATTTACGTCCACGCGTTTTGTCGGCACAGGAGTTTTGGTCCAGGTGCCAGTTGAGACCCAAAGTTAATTGGCCCATATGTAAATATGCAATCGACAATTGCTCACGGCGTTTTTGGATGAAAATGTAAAATGTCTTGGAAGAATGAGGGTTTGCTTGTTTTTTTGTTTTGTCTGTTAGGCCCAACGGAGAATAATATATAGCTAAGCGTTTTGGTAAAAATGGGGGAGCGTCAATTCCATGAGACAAAATTTACTAAAACTCTCTACACCTCTTTAGTGTAACAGGACTTAATTATCTTTCAAGAAATTCCCACCTTATTATACCTGAACCGGATAAACCTCCATATTTGCCTCAGCTAAAGGCTCTTAGATTTTTCCGGTGTACGATAAGTATCTTGATTTATTTTGCGAGGAAAGATCTGTGCTTTTAAAGGATACCTGTTTCTTAATACGTTTAATTTCGTATGATACTGTGCAACACCTCTGTTGTGAAATAGTTACTTCAGGCGCCGCCGCACGGCGGGCGGGCGGCCAGCGCGAACCGCGCATTGGCGCCTACAAACCTAAGTGGATACTTCAAGCATTGTTCAATGCGCGAAGTATCCACTTAGGTTTGTAGGCGCCAGCCTCTCGAGCTGGCAGCACGTCGCTCCGCTCTGTTAGGCTTTAATATTTATACTCGCATAGTCAGCGTTTTTTAACTCAGGATTTTGACATGTTAGCACACTCTGCATTGATTATTCTCATTTAAATTGATGGGGAAAAATATGTATCAATTTATCAAAGGAGAATGATAATATAATGTGTGTTTTTTTTTAAATATTAGTGGTTCCGTGTCAAATTTAATGATATCCAAAGTACTTTAATTTTTTATTTTACATTTTGTGCTTTTATTGTGCTGCAGCGAGGTGTACACGCAACCAAACGCTCAAAATTTGACGTATTTGACTCTAAAAAATCGATGTACAAATGGGTTAAAACTAAAGATTGCGTGCTTCTTGGTTTTTTTCCCTCTTTTATTCATTTTTGCAGTTTCTGTCGGCACAACTGCGGCTTATTGAGATTAATGTCGCTTGGAAAAGGTTTTACAAATATTTGTCACGTTTTAAAAATATAAATCTTTTCAAAATGAAGTAAAGAAAAACTTTAAAAAATGAAAAAAGTACCTATACACATATAAGGTATATTGTATATTGAATATTTTAAGGATATAGATAAAGCCAAATATTCACCAATGACAATTTAAAAAGATGATTCAAAAGGAGAAAATAATAACATTTCATTTAGAAAATGAGCAACCATAACAATACCTCCTTCTCTCTCAATTTCTCATTTCCATATTGTCAATATAATTATACATACCGACTAAGTATAACGCTTGAACCAAGTCACCGTTGCTTATTTTACGTGTGGGCGTAAACTACTGGACAAAAAAGGTTCGCGGACAAAAAATCGTTGACAAAATGTCCTGAAACCGAGACCCCTTAACATTTTTGGGGGTTTTATCAAATAATTACTGATTTTGGCATATCATAGAATATTTTGAGCAAACTTACCCCTAACGTTCCTCAGATTTTAAAAGTGAAGGACACCTCAACGCGCTATGATGACAGCGCAGATACAAATGTTCGTTTTTAATGGATGTCCGTGTTGCATCTGGACAAATTGAAGTCACGAAGAAGCAAGGCGTGAACTCGCAACGCTCCAATCTATGCTGTCGATGAGGTGTTCGGATTGGGAAGAAAAGTTAATTAAAAACAAGTCCTCATCACGTCTCCATTATCTTCGGGAGCGACGCTCTAGTAACTCTTGAAGCACCATTACAAATGTATAAGAAAAACGAAAGCAACACAATATGAAAATAGAGCAAGGGAAAGGACGCTCATTCATGACGGCGCCGGCGCAGAGATACAACTATTCGTGCTTGATGGACGTCCGTGTTGCATTTGAAAAAATTGAAGGCGCGCTGGGGCAGAACGTGAACTCGCATTACTCCGCTCAACGCTGCCAATGAGATGTCGCTCAGATTCGGTAGAGAAGTTTAAAAACGAGGCCCAATTACGTTTTTACTATTCTGGACTGTGTTGCTGTTGTTTACGTAACTTCCTGGAAGGAAGCACCACAACATATAAAACTAGTACGAGATTAAATGAATTGCTGTACATCCTTCTCCGTTATTAATCATGTCTCAATAAAAAAAAACGATTTTCGGTTGGTGAATATGTATATTTGAATTTTACTTCTTTGGACGATTCCCGCAAATTTGAGTTGCACACAATCACAATGGATCGAGTTTATCAGGTAAGGAACCAACCATTATTTTCGAAAAAAATGAGACAAGAAAGTTTTTGAGTTCCACTAGTCGTTTATTTTCTCCTGCCAAAATCTGAACGTGGAAGAGAAGAAATTAGTTTGTGAAGAGAGGGGTTAAAGTTTCTTTTCTACATTGAGCCTTGTGCAAGGATAAAACTTCAAACCTCTTTTTCACAGTTTCAACTTAATGTGGGTTGGTTCTTTTCTTGTGAACTCGGCCCAATTAGGCAGTTATTTACTTTTAAATTTTCTAAACTCGCAAGAATTGGAACAAATTTCAGTTTTGAAGCGCGTATTACTCGTTTATTCGAGGTCGTTAATGCGGCTTAGAGGCCTTGAATAAGTTTTCCAAGCTTTCCCGGCGAAAGGACGACGTAAGTGCATAAATTCTAGAGTTATCTGCCATCAATTCTCTGCCGGTTTTGAGGTCATTTTTAGACTTTCAAATCGGTTTCTGAAAAAGCATCCAAGCGGAAAGGGTTATTTATTTTTGAGCGATCTTTTGAGCACGTGTAAGAAGCCAACCTCTTCGACGTATCCTTAAATCCTCCGGAGTTGCCTCTCTCAGCATCGAAAACAATATTTCGGAAGCGAATATTATGGAAAGTCTGCAGAATGAAATGAGTTAATTTTTCACCGAAAAAAATTGTTTTCATTTGATAGAATCTCGTACCCAGTGTAGTATTTACCTTTAACAACCAACCCTACTATTTACTTAATGACAACATAAAAGTGATACGAATCAAATATCGACGAGAAAACTACC